TCTGTATCTACAAAAACAACAAGGAGTCTGGTGGCACCTTAAAGACTAACAGATTTATTTGGGCATAAGCTTTCGTGAGTAAGCTTTGATGCATCCGAAGAAGTGAGGTTTTTACTCACGAAAGCTTATGCCCAAATAAATCTGTTAGTCTTTAAGGTGCCACCAGACTCCTTGTTACCTTTCCTAAAGAGTATGTAAAGTTGCTCACATCAGTTCTAGCCTTCACATGCCGGAACCACACTTGGTTGAACTGGCCTAAGAAATTTCACATCACAGAGATCTAGAGGAAGAGGAAACAACTAACTAGTTCTTTGTCTTAAAAGAAGGATTTATCCCGGGAAGTAAAGCACAGCAGCGGCAGATGCTGACTAGTCTAGGTGCCCTGGCTGAATAATAATCAAGACCTCGAATTGCAAAGAAAGTCTTTAGCAACTGCAAACATTTATGCCCGTCCGTAACCCCATGCACCTTAGCAGTCCCGCTGCGTCACCTGGGCAGGTGTTTGCAGACTAAGGATGTTAGGAACTACACACGGGGCTTGGGCTGGGTCCCGAACCAAAGGCCTTTTAACCTGTTTTGAATGACCTACACGCAGCAGGCCTTGCTACGGGCACATCAAGCGCTGCGGCCCAGTCCCGGCAGAACATTGCTCTGCCCAGCCTCAGAACCCACCGCTCCTTACGGGTCACAGCCCCTGCCTCCCTCCCTCCCGCCCCTGCAGCGCTTCGGCTGCACCCCCTCCCCCCGCGGCGGCGGCGGCGGAAGCTGGAAGCAGGGCGGGGGGTGAGGCCCCGGCCCGGAAGAGGAAGGGCTCGTGCTGCGGGAAGGCTTTGGACTGTGGCGGCTGCGGGCTCTGGGTGAGGGGGTTGGCGGGAGAGGGCTGGAGCTCTGCGGGAAGGCTGGAGGGGAGGAGGTGTTGCGGGTGGCGGGGTGACGCTGTGTCTATGGGGGCTTTGGAAGGGCGGGAGGCTGTGGGGCTGGAGGGGGCGGGGGCTGTGTCTGCGGGGACTGTCTATGGGGTCTGTTTGTGGGGCTGTGTCTATGGGGATGGGAGGGGGCAGGGGGCTGTGTCTGCGGGGACTGTCTATGGGGTCTGTTTGTGGGGCTGTGTCTATGGGGATGGGAGGGGGCAGGGGGCTGTGTCTATGCAGTGCTATCCAGAGGATTCAGGGGGCCTGGGGCAAAGCAATTTGGGGGGGGCCCTTCCATAAAAAAAGTTGCAATACTATAGAATACTATATTCTCATGGGGACCCCTGCAGGGCCTGGGGCAAATTGCCCCACTTGCCCCCCCCCCACCTCCCGGGCAGCCCTGTGTCTATGGGGACTGGAGGGGGTGGGAGGCTGTGGGGCTGTGTGTGGGACTGGAGGAGCAGTGTCTATGGGGACTGGAAGGGGCAGAGGACTGTTTGTGGGGCTGTGTCTATGGGGACTGGAAGGGGCAGGGGGCTGTGGAAGGCTGTGTTTGAGGCTGGAGGGGCTGTGTATGATGGGAGGGGAGGCTGAAGGGGGGGGTCTCTAGCAGTGCCCCAAGCTCTGCTGTTAGTTTACGTGCCCTATGCATTGCTGTCTGTGTCTTAGCTTGACTCCTGTCCTCTCCCATGGCCCACCTCCCCCCACGGCCTAAAAAATCTCCCTTGCTGTGGGCAGGTCACAGACATGATGCCTGGAGTCCACCAATTGTTTCCAAGTGGCTCTCAGACAGAAATGTGAGGCCTTTATTTGACTGATTGTATTACAACCCAGGTCGGAAGTGACCTAAACATAATTGCTGTATAATAGCTCTCTCTGTTAGGTGGCTGAGGTGTAATAAGTTGATGGTTTCAGTTCAGTTGCTAGTAGATAGGTGTCTCAAAAACCTCCCATTACATTTTGAATGTCTGATGGCAATCCCACTGTAGGTGTCAAAGATTGTAAACACATGGAGACTGGACTACTTTTTCTGTCTTAGAAGTGGTCCAGTACAAAGTTAAGGCAGTGAAAGAAAATTAGTTAGTACTTACCTGAATCTTCATTTACAGACTAGTTAAGGCAGTATCAGGATAGTCAGTCCAATACGTAACATTTTAAAATGTAACACACTTCATTACCTCAATTTTCACTACGTGGATTTGGTAGCTGTCCTTTTCATGTTTTTTTTTTAAGCTGCTGCAATTGTATTTTATGTCTAATAGTATTTCAGAATGACTTCCTCAACCGAAGTTCCTCTGAATTATGAAGAGATGTTTTCTCATCGATTTACATCAGATGATGAGGAATATCAAGAGTATTTAAAACGCCCAACAGATCCACCTCCTCTAGTAGAAGAATGGAAAAACAGATCTGGTGGTAACCAAAGAAATAGAGACCGGTACTGATTTTTAAATCTTTGTTAGTTTCACAAACACATATTGATGTCATAGCTAGCACTCTAAGATGTTTGTCTGCTTTAGAATAAAGAGAAGCAGGTTTGCTGTATGCTCCCCATTATTTGGCAGGTTTCTTGATTTGAAAGAAACTCAGATCTCTCCAGGGTAAAAGATAGGATTTCGCTAAACTAATACTGACAGTGTTTTTTTTCATTCTATATAAGAGTATGAAGCAAACTGCTATTCTGTAAAGAATGAGCTGGAACCACTTAAATCATTGCCCTTGGGGCCCATTGCTGCTTGGCCATGAACTGATTTATTTTTTAAAGGGGAAAGATCAGAGGTTTGTCTGCTAAACCACAAACAGCTTGTCTTTGGAAGCATAATTGTCAACAGAAAACTGACTCTGCCAAGTAGCACACCAGTGACGTGATTTTTTTTTTTTTGTACAACTAGCAAAAAATAGAATTGTGACTAGGCTAGATTGCAGTTCTTTTGTCTATTTGTAAGGAGCATAGAATATATCTCCCTCTCGCAAGTGCACTGGAAGATCATATTATATGCCTGCCAAAAATCTTTTGAATTATACTGTTTTTTTTCCAGGCTGGGAGTGTTGATCCCTTAAGCTTGGATATTGACACTTGATTTTTGGGACTGAAAAAAGGACAATTCCTGCATTTGATGCCCAGGCAAAAAATTTCTTTTTCTTTTTAGTACTGCTGGGACTGGATTTCATATTAAGTTACTTAGGCCCCAGGCCTGCAAACACTTAGATACACTAGTAGAATTTCTTATATGCATAAAGTTAAGAAGGTGCTTCAGTGCTTGCTGGATTGGGGCTTTATTCTTCTAAAAATAAACGATTCCAATGTTTTCATCATTCTACTAACTTGTCAGTAACTTCACACTTAAGTTGTAAATTACAGTTTACCAAAAATGATGATTGTTGAGGAAGTTATTCTTTAAAAATCTGTTTTACGAATTAATTATGTGAATTTTTAAGCTAAATTTTAGTAATCCATTCCTTTTATTTCATTTTGAATGGTTTGTACAAAGGCTGAAATTTTTTTCCCCCTGTAAGACAGCCAGTAGTTTGTTACATAGTAGTAAGTAGTTGACCTATCTTCCTATCTTGGGTCCTAGGATAGCTTTGAATAATCACATCTTTGACATGTATTTTGCCCTAAAAAGATTAGCAGTTGTTTGTGTGTTTACATAACTGGAGCCAGATTTTAGGACTACACTAAAATAGTTTGTTTGTGAAACAGTTCAAAACCTTCCCTCTTTAAAATCTCAAAGCTGGTGTTTATGCAAATTTCTTTTTATTACAGGTTTCAAGATGGCAGGCAGTTCAGAGGCAGAGGGGACAGGCATGACTGGCAAGGTGGTAATAGATCTAATCAGTGGCCAGGAAGAAGCTGGGGTAACAGCTATCAACAGCACAGACAAGGACAGTCTTACTACCCCCAATACGACTATGGCTACAACTCCTACAATCCAAGGCCTCATTACGGCCGCTATTAATATGGCATTTTGCTGTTAAGTATCCACTAAAACCATTTAAGTTGAATGCCAGATCTGGGGTTTTGTTTTGCTCAATTTTCTCGTATTTTCTATGTAACTTTAGGTAATGGATATTGGTTTTAGAGAGCCTGTTGATGTCATTTTGTAGTGCAAATTAATGAAGATGTGACCTTTGTTGTGAGTAATAAAATTCTATAAACAATCTCTAGTGAGCCCACAGACAATATGATTTCGTTTCTCCCTCCAATTCTTTTTTGCTAGGTGAACATTGTTTTCCCCCCACCCTGTCCCTGACATTATCCCATTATATTGTATCTAGAAGGGAAAAAAATCAATAGTTCAGGGAAATGGAAGTTTGCTTTGTCTCTGAAGCACATGGCAATGACTATGCATACATGCCAGGGTGTTCTTGAAATTCTGATGCATATTGTGTCCCTTGCTTGGGAGGAGTGTTGCTTATTATGGTCATCCATAATGGAAGAAAAGCATGCAATCTGGGTGGGAGTTGTTTTTGAACTATTATTACTACTGAGCTAGCTTATGCTGCTGGAGTTCATGAAAGTTCAAGGAAGACATTGCTGTCTGTGGTTTAAATAATGTTGGCCAAAAAAGAAAAGCAGAGGAAGAATTGTAAAAGATGTGAAGTAAGACTCTTATACAAGATGTATTTCTCCCTGCTGATTGCATGGCTTAAATTTGTATTTTTTATTTTATTATTTTTTTTAAAAGCACTACTCCATTCCTGCAATATTCTTTTGTTTGACAGCTCTTTATGGCACACTGAGGGACAAAATTCATGGGCCTAAAAATTCAGTTCCATTTCAACCTTTCTTATAGATTAGGACAGTGGTTCCCAAACTTGTTCCGCCACTTGTGCAGGGAAAGCCCCGGGCGGATCGGCAGGTTTGGCCGATTGCGGCTCTCAGTGGCCGCGGTTCGCTGCTCCAATGGGAGCTGTGGGAAGCGACAGCCAGTATGTCCCTCAGCCCGCGCTGTTTCCCGCAGCTCCCATTGGCCTGGAGCAGCGAACCGCAGCCACTGGGAGCCGCGATTGGCCGAACCTGCGGACACGGCCAGTAAACAAACTGGCCCGGCCTGCCAGGGGCTTTCCCTGCACAAGCGGCAGAACAAGTTTGGGAACCACTGGATTAGGACATTGAAAAAAAATCTAACATTTTCTTCAAAAGCAGCCTAAGATGTGAAATGAAATAACTCAGTTTGTTTTCTAGTTCCAATAGATCGTTGCTAAACTATTTTTACATGCACTTAGAAGTGACACATCAAGAATGAGTTTACATCTTTTTAAAATAAACTCAGTAGGTGCACAATTCTCTTTGGGAGTCCTGTTTTCCCTCAATGCCAGCTATAAGTTTGTGATGGCTCTTTTAATAGTTTTTTTTTTTTTTAATAGGAAATACTTATGTGATTGTCTTAGCACTCTTACGTCTGTTCTTGGTAGTTTCCTTTTACGATATAGTCTTTTGCATGAGGAAAAAAGCAAATACAATACAAAGAAGTATGCTTATTAAACCTTTTAATTTATGAATTGAGCTCTTGTATTTGCTGAAAATCAATTATAATAATGAAATAAACATTACTGAAGATTTAGGAATTGCTGTGAATAATATTTATGAAACCTGCTCTTAGAATGCTGTTATGTTGTAACACTGGCATTTTAGGTTGACAACTACACAAGAAGTGATATTTACTGATAAATGTTTCATACTGGGCAGCTGTTCATTGACAGGAATGATCTACTCAACTAAGGCAGACTTATTGTTAAGAGGATAAGACATATTATAATTGATTTAAAAGTCTGGAGTGTTAATCCATTACTTTACCCTGTACTATAACAGGGTCACAGCCCTTCAGTTTATCTGATGAGCACGTGTGTGTTGGGAGAAGAGTGCATTTCCTTTATTTAATATTTTGTTGAGCTATTCTGCAGAGTACAAATCCAGCCAGGCCTCTCTACTATAATATCAAGATACGCTGCTGTGTATCTACATCATGATATTCAGTAACAGGAAACAAAATATTAATGCATCTTGATTAAACAAAGAAGAAATGCATAATTCATATTAACAGAAAAGTCATGCTTTTGAAATTCTTTATATTAAAGTAACTTTGTTTTTGATCTCTGTATTTTATAAACATGAGCTCTGGGTGGCTTTTCTATAATCAAGGATGGAAAGAAGCTATGGAGCTCAAATGTCTAGCCACCTATCTAGCAAGCATTTATTTTTATTTATATTTTATTCCTGTCTTTTTCCTTGTAATAGCTTCTGATGCAAACTTAGTCTAGTCCCCATAATAATTATCTTGAGTTTGTTTCTGCTTGTTTAACCTCTTACCCATTAAGTTCTGTAGCATCCAATTTATGAACAGGGCTGAGGTGTAAAATAATGTATTTTAGAGGGTAAAATTCACCCATATGTGGCCTGCACAAAATTCTCCTCAACACTAAAGCATCATAGCTGTCAGTGGAGCAGTTGTATGGGAAAGGGGTAGGGGCAGAGAAAGTAAGTGGAACCATCTTGCTCTCTGCATGCTGTAGCTAAGGTCTCAGCAACAGCTGTACCATAGGATTCACAGTTATACAGATTCATCTCCTGCAAGATGCTTAACATCCAGAACTCCAAGTCAATGGGAACTAAGATGCCCCTCACCTGGCAGAACCAGGCCCACATAGTGCAAGTTATGCAGAGGAAGCCAGACTCCTCTTCCATTTCATAGCCTGGAGTGGCGTGTCAAGGGGGTTACTCTGCAGCCTGAGTGGATTTTGCATTGTCTATTTGTGTGAGGCCCATCCACTTTATTAGGTATCCAATTTCACCCATAGTGAATAAACAATTTGGGTAGGGAAAATTAGATAGCTATGATGTAGTTAGCTCAACCTATTATTTTATTTTAGTGGAAGTCTGTTTTGATTTTGAAAGATTAGTAATACTTTTAGTAACAATTTTAAACCAGTAGTTATTTGGTTGAAAATTGTTTTAATAAACCCCTTTACTGGATTCAAGTGCTAGTAACTTCCCTCCTCCCCCCCCCCCCCCATTTATAGAATGGCTGTTCATGTGTGTAGGGATTATTGGCAGAACCAGTCTGTAAACATGTTTAAATATTTCAAACTTGACTCAGTGTCATACCAGCTAAGACCTCAGCCCAAACAGCCTTGTCGGCATTAAATGGATGTCCTGATACCACAGTTAGGTTCTGTCTCACTAATGGCAAAGTGAACAGTAGTTAACTGCTGAACCTGCTGCAAATGGCAGGTACTTTCCACCAAACTCTGGTTGCTTTTGAACCTTGTACTCACCATTTATTCCGCAGTTCTTTCTTTTAAAGAGAGGCAGGTTCACAAGATTTGAAGTTTTTCTAAAAGATATGCTCAAAACGTGATCCTTTCTGGCCATGGAAACTATGTAGAAATTCCAGCAAGGCCCAGAGTCATCTTCTACTCCATACAATTCTCTCTTCACAACTGACAGTTATGATCTACTCCCTGAGTAAATGGTAGGCAAATTTTCTGAGGGGAGCTGATAAAATCTCCATTGTTTTTCTGGGTACTTCCCCCCACACTGTAAGAATTAGCTGGATTGATTTCAGCTAGACTTCATTCAAGCAACACTCATTTTGATGTAATTTGAAAATATCAATCCTTAGCTCTAGGTGCTTGTTTAATTAAAAAACACAGAACTATCCCATGTAACCTCCTTGGTCCAGTGATCAGGTTGTCAATATAGAATGCTCTGAAGAACTGATAGTGCTTTCCATCTTCAAACTGCTATACAACAGTTAACCCTCACAATATTTAGGTAGGTAGGTAGGTGCTGTTACCCTATTTTATAAATGGGGAAACAGAGACTTGGTTAAAAATCACACAGTAAACCACTGGCTGAGCTCAGGAGTTCCTGGCATAGGACTGAGATCCAATCCTCTAGATCCTGCTGTCTCCTTGTTCTTGTTTTTACAGATCTGAATAGTGTTATTCATATAACTTGCTTCAGCATTAAAGCTCTTGCTGTGTTTCAGAAGTCAGAGTAGAGAGTAAATGTCTGTGTGCTTTGAAAAGCTTCTGTAGAATAATAGTGCTGAAATCCAATTTTGTGCATGAATAAAACATTTCAGAACAAATACAGGCCAGCCTCACACTGGACTGAAATATAATTGGGCCTCATCTAGGCCTTAGCGTCTTGAGATTAGTTTATTGGCAGCAGGGCCCCTAACATGAGTGAACATTTGTGACCGAATGCAGTCTCTCATTGTTTTCTTTCTCTATCACATTAGATACATCTAGGAAGTTTGCATTGTGACAAGAGCATTTCTTCCCCCTCTGCTTAGGTTACGTTACTGCAGATGAAACTCGGTACTGGCATTTTTTAACGTGTCTGGCAACTTCAGATACTAAAGATAAATAGTGATAATTAGTGTTTGTATAACACATTGCCTTAACTATGCCATAGGGTAAACCTGAGATACCAGTGTCTGGAATCTAATTTTCAGAGAGGCCTGCCCTATAACCTTTGTTCAGATGTCTGGGAGGAAAGTAAATAAAAACTTGTGCAAAAGAAATAAAGAAAAAGCAAACACGTATACAGTAAATGTATATGTTTAGTGCAAGTGACCTAATGCCATATTATACTCAAGAATTTAGACACAATAGGCTGGAAGTTCAAACTATGGCTCCTACAGCAGTTACACCTCTACCCCAAGATAGAATACGAATTTGGATATAACGTGGTAAAGCAGCGCTTGGGGGGAGGGTTGCACCCTCCTGCGGATCAAAGCAAGTTTGATATAACGTGGTTTCACCTATAACGCAGTAAGATTTTTTGGCTCCCGAGGACAGCGTTATAGCGGGGTAGAGGTGTATAACTGCCCCTTTGCACATATGTAATAATGGGAAAATATTTATTCTCCAAAATATTGTATAATTGCAATGGTGCCCTATTATAGGCGCTGAGAGAACTCTAATATTAACTTCTGTTTTTTGTACATTTCGGTTGTTAACTGTAATATTAACGATAAAAAATGCCTTCAAAGCTCTTCCAAGCTGGAAGAAACTGAAAGGCGAGAGAAGGCTTGTAGATGATTTGAGAGCTACAATTATACAAGTGTTCTTTGATATTTAGCCTCTGTTGCTTTTATATTCTTTGGATTAACTCTGCAAGTGGCTGTGATAATATGCAGACATGCCTGGG